TCACAGACGTGGACACTCGCCAAGTCTAATATGGATAAAATAGTAAAGGCACAAAGAGCGATGGAAAAATCAATGCTTGGGGTGAGACTTATAGACAAAAAACAAACAAATGGATTAGAAGCAAAACCAAAGTAAAAGACTCCGCAGTAAGAGACTGAAGGATAAAAGATGGAACCACGACATACAACAATGGAGACCATGGTTTGAAAATAGAAGCAGAGGAAGACCACAAATAAGATGAGCTAATGACATTAAGAAGATAGGAGGACACAACTGGAAGCAAGTGGAGCAAAATAGAAAACACTGGTTTGAGTTAGGAAAGGCCTAAGTCCAAAGTTGAATTACTTAAGGCTGAGGAAGAAGAATGCCTATTCCTCTCTTTATTCTAATAGTGTGTGCGTCAATCCCTTTAGATCTTTTTGACTTTCATAAATTAAAATTTGTTTTAGAGTTTTTTTGTTAAAAAACTAAAAATTTTAAATAAATTCCTTTGTAATTCTAGTATTTTTTATTTTGCAGCAAATAGTTGTCGTATTAGCTATAGTATTAGCTATAGCCGTAGCTGAGCCGGAGCCGGAGCCGGAGCCGATGCCTAATCCAACTGTACCATTTGTTGAATTATATGAAACATACCCAGCGCATAGAGTGGTTCGAAGTGTACCAGATCAGACAACTGAGCAGGAACCCATAAACCCACCGTCAAAATAGGTTGTAGATATGATTCAGCAACAGATAACAAAATGTAATGGTGAAGTTCAATATAATTTGTATTTATTATGTACTTAATTTTTGTATTATTATGCAGAAAATGTTCCACAATTCATTTCCATCCCTTGCCTTAATTTTTATAAATAGTTTCAAAAAATGGGACTTTATAAACTGATTGGTGATTGTGGATATTCAAACAAATTGTGTTATATGTATAATGAAAAAGAGCATTGAGGAAGGAGGTCGGATTGTTGAAAAATGAAAAGAAACATGTTAGAAATTGAAAAAATCAGTGATATAATAATAATAATGTTATATAATATTAGACACACACACACACACACATCTGTCAAATTAAGGTATACAAAAAACTTTACCAATTTATAGTAAAACGACAAATGTACGCAAAAAATTATTTCTATCTACTTTATGCTTGTGTAAATTTCAGGTAAGTTTATGAGTTAAGAAAACTAAACACAATATTCACAAGTCAAAGATATCAGAAGAAACAGAAACGAGACGATCACGAAAATGAATAGTGATAAGCAGTTTTTAGAGATTAGATGAGCTACCAAAACGGCCACCCCACTACTGCTGTAAAATCTCAAGCAAATTATATGTAGACCAGATAGTTTGTTCGATCTATTACAGCTTTATATAATGAGTATCTGTTGAAGTACAAAAATCTGCCCAAAAACATAAATGTGACATTTGTTGTCAATACGAAGTAGGAAACCTGCGTGAGGAATATCTTGCATGTTTTAATAATGGATTTACAAGCTACTAAGGTTCGTAGTTCGCTTATAAGGTACGCTTAGATAAAATCCATCTCTATTGGCGCTAAAGTGACCAGCTGCTCGATACCCATCAACATGTAGAGGATTAAATCTATACTTATGTGGTCTAAACACCCCAATTTTGCACTTTTTAGAAGATTGAAGAATTTTCTCATCTGTAAATATTACCCTATCCTAAAAAATCTTGATTTTATAGCTGATAGTTGAAAGCAAATACAAGTCTTAATTGCTACTGTTGTGGTGTAAAAGCTTGTTTTTTTTTGCTGCAGTTAGTTACCTAAGAGCGATGCTTTAATTATTCACCAAGTTGTTATCTTTTCTCCCGCAAACTGTGACATAATTCTTGCAGTATTCACATCTTCCAAAGGAGTCTCTTCTAATCTCTCCTAAAGCGAACGATCTTCATGAGAGATAGATATTTTTGGTTTTCCAGAACCTTGCTTTCTTTCGAGAGTTTATTGTTTTCTTCATCTTTCATATTAAACTGTTGTTCTGCTTACGTTAAAATGGTCCGCTACGGCAGGTAGCGACCAACCATCTTCTAATTTCGTTACAATTCTTGCTTTTAACCTTCAAAAAACATCGTTCAATTTTTTACAAATACTCTTTAACCTTCAGCCGGGCGCGCCGCAGTAATTTTCTGCGTAAACTCAATATTTCCAGATAACGTGTTAACGGGATACGCCTTGTACGTGATATTTTTAAAATTCCCTTATCGGTTACTCCTTAGCCGGTACCCATCGTCGTCTTGTGAAATCCAAATCCAATTCGTTAATTATCGTACTTTATTGTGAATGGTACATAGAGGCAGACAATTGCTGCAAGGTGCCTGGTAGTGAAATTCGCGCATTTTTTTTTGAAATAACTGATATATTATATATATTTTTCGAGAAATTGAAATTTTATTGCTAAATAAAATTGTTAATAATATAATTATTTATAAGAATTAATAATATATATGAAACCTATTAGATTATTGTAGAATTCTATATTATAACATATTTATAAAAACAAAAGAGAAATTCCTCAAGAAGTTCTTCCATATAAATCAAGGGCAGTTCAATCTAGCATATTTGGATTTCAAAAAGATTATGTGATTACCTCTTATGTGCCGCGTAAAAGTAAGTCAGTCATATTATTATCGTCTATGCACAATGAAAGTACAGTCGACATGGATACTAAGAAACCACAGTTGATTTTAGATTACAATAAAAGAAAAGGAGGAGTTGATACTGTAGATAAATTATGTTCATCATACAGTATTTCACGAATTACTAAAAGATGGCCGTGTGTTATATTCTATAATTTAATAAATATTGGAGGCATAAATGCTTTTGTTCTACACTCCGCTGCAAATTCTGGAAAATCACTCAAAAGGAGACATTTTCTCAAAAACCTTGCAATAAACTTGATGAAAAAACACCTTCATACACGATCACAAATTAAAACACTTCTACGTGATATAACCGAGTTCCTGTTCAGGATGTTTCCGAAGCCACCAGTACCCTATCAAGAAGACGAAAGTCCTGCTAAACGTGGTAGATGCTGCAATTGTTACAGTGAAAAAATCAAGTCGTATACCTCTATGAAATGTATACAATGTAGTGCATTCACTTGTAAAAGGCATTCTAAATCTAATATTGTATGTATTAATTGTAATGATCAAATAAATTAAAAGCTTTTTCTGTATAATTTGACAAAATAAATAACGATACAGTTAATCAATAATTAAAAGTGTCGAAAACAATAAGAAACTACATGGCAGCAAATTGCTGCGGCGCGCCTGATGATGTAATTATTTAGGGCGCGCCTGGCCGAAGGTTAAGAGTTGTATCAGTTTTTTTAGGAACCAGCTGTAAATATACCATAATACGTATACACGTATTATAATACGTATACGTATATACGTAAAGACCATAATACGACCAGCAGTCGCGTATGGAAGCGAAACATGGACGCTAACAAAAAGAGAAGTAAGTAAATTGCTGGTGTGGGAACGTAAAATTCTTCGAATGATATATGACCCTTGCAGAGACAGCGTGACAAACGAATGGAGGGGCAGATACAATAACGAGCTAGAATCTCTATTCGGAAAAGAAAATCTAGTCAGATATATAAAGGAAAATAGACTCAGATAGGCAGGGCATGTGATACGCAGTAACGACAATCGCCTTATAAACAATGTGTTCTGGGAAAGGCCAGATGGAAGAAGGTATGTAGGGCGGCTTAGAAAAAGATGGAAAGATTCAGTCTAAGAAGATCTAGAGAAAATGGGAGTGCGACAATGGGAATTACTGGCACAGGACCGACAAACATGGAAGGCAATAGTAAATGCGGCAAAGACTCACGAAGAGTTGTAGCGCCATTGATGATGATGAGCTGTAAATATCAAAACGTTTAAAGATTTCAAATGATTTTAAACTATTTTAAAACCATATGTATGCCAGCATATGACCAGGGAACAAAAATGTGACTGATATTAGAGCTATTAAATATACACCAGAAGGTATTATTTTCTACAAACGTTACTTTGATGATTTATGGGTGGAATTACCACAGAGTAGAAACAAACAAGAAATATGCCGTGTTTGGCAACAAATGAATTTAGAAAACAGAAAAATAAAGGATCAGAAATGGAAACATCTTTAAAATTTAAAAGATGTTATCTCTCCTGATTTCCCTTAGTTATTACAAACATATTGAATTATTTTGTTTAAAATCTTCTTAATATTTACTTTAATTATAAATAAAACATAATCTCCAAATAACTTTTCAATCCAATAAAACACTTAAACCATATTTTGCAATATTATTTGGCAACAAATCCTAGTAACCTACCGTTACACCAAAATAATTTTCAAAAAATTAAAAAAATAAGTGTTTTACAATGTATAATAACACCTTGATATTAAATCAATAATTATTTATTTAGGATTAACGATTTTCGCATGCAGAAAATGCTTTTTTATTCTACTATGAAAAACTTATTTGTGGGTTACGAGCTTTTGCATCTTTTTTCGCTTTTTTTTCCTCTAAATAGTTTTTTCTGTGAATTAATTGTTTCTCGCAAATAGTAGTATCTTCCTATAAGCATTAACTTTTTAGAAATATAGAGTAAATTATATTTTATGGGTATATTGTAAACAATAATATTAGGTCTCAGTAATCAAAACAACAACAATATTGAAATTAACACTTTTCCTAACGGTCGTAATTTTTTGTCAACAAATAATCATATAATATGCTAATCAATCCAGGACCTGTATCCGCGTTAGCTAATAATTATTATTTATTAACTCTTTATTAATGGACCACGCGCCAAATTAGATCATCTCATCTAGATATCGTCCTCCAAAAACTTGAATATTATGCAAATGATTAGGACCAAAATTAGAAATGAGCGATCCAACAAAATTTTCGTCCTAAGTATAAATATCGCACGATTTTGCAAATTCTTTATCATTTGATTTTAAGCACAATCAAATAATTTACAAAATGTTCAAATCGGTAAGTATTATAAATCTTTATATATGGACTGTACATTTTAGCATAGAAAAGTTATAGAGTAACTTTCTTTTATTATTTGGTAGGTCTTATTTGTTTATAGTATAAAATTGTTGAGCTCTAGCTAGTTTAATACATTTTCCCCATAGTTTATCTTATAACATTCGATAAAATATTCTTTCTTTAAAATACAAATTATTTTCATTGTATCAATATTGTTCTTATTCATATATTTTTACTATAGGTATATTTTATTTTTTAACACTGATTACTTTTCTAACAGTTTCTCGTGTGAGTTCAAGTGCAACCATTCGTTTTGAATTGGATATTTTCTGGGAATTGGTCACAAATACAATTAGAAATATTTTATTTAACGTTTTGTTAGCGAAGTTACCGATCTACTTTTCTGGAGCCAGCAAATCTATAGCCAAAATTTTATGAGAGACGTGTAGTAGGTTATTCTCCAGATAAATTATGGTATCTTTACATCTACGTATTTGCCTTTCCATACTGTAATAATATTCATAAACAATTGTGCTGATATTTAACTTTCACTTGGTTATTCTTTCTGAACAGTTTTATGATATCTAATTGAGTGTATAGCCGATGGTTTCGTAGTTTATCATTTCCTTTGTATTCATCATTAAAAGTATCTTGATAGTATTCAAATAATCTTTTTGCATTTTGGACAGTTTTTTTATATATTTTACAATAAGTTTTTGTTCCTAATCTTGTTCCTAACATTTTAAAATCTCGACAAAGGCAAGGGTTTCCTGTCGAAACGTTAATTTGAATGGCACAATAAAATCTAGTTGCAAATTTAATATTACTTACTAAACCTAAACCCAAGAAATATATATATATATATATATATATATATATATATATATATATATATATATATATTATATATATATATATATATATATGACCTAGGAGGACAAATTCGTTAAACTTTCCGTGCTCTAATCGGTATCAATAAAGTGTTATGAATCATTTCGGCTTATTCCAGCCTCATCAGACACGTGGGCTGATATAAATTTCTCCTAAAACTTCACTATTACAGTGGTTGTCCAATATAGACTGGTACAGATTTTTAATATACGTGTACAAAGTATGCATTAAGGTACATTGCTTGCTGTTACATTTGTAAAGGAATTGGAAAAGAGGTTTACAGTCAATTTGAAAGTTAAAAATATCTTTCGTATTGTTTAAACATATTTGTGTGTAAGCGTCAAATTCACTACATTCTGTTGGCAGATGTTTTGTTGTTATTGGTAATACACTTGCTACATTTTGGTGCTTGGTTATGGGGAATGAGATGTTGATGAATAAGTTTACAGTGTCCTAACTGAAGACAAGATAGGATGACTTGGTCTTGATGTAACTCTTTCTATAAATTTAGGGTCAACGATTTTAATAGTTAGTTGCTATATCTGTCTATCTCAGAATGAGATGAAACCCATAGGAAGACTTTTTTTTATTTTGTTTGACAAGGACTGTAAAATATTTCCTTAATTAAAATTGCTATAGTGTTGTTCGTGAATTTTCGATGGATGAGTCTCAGTGAATTGAGTAAGTCAGATATTATTAAAAAGTGTTTGGTTTGTGCTCTGGAAATGTATTTTAACGCTTGTAATGTGGCATTAATTTCTCTATTTAATATACTTTATGAACTGGGAAGCTTAAATAAATATTTAGTATCGTTGATTATGAACACTGCTAATCCTAAGCCTTGACAAGACATGTAGCGGTGAACTCTAATATAAAAAAGGTGGTGGAGAGGTGCTTTTTTAAAAAGTTGATTTGAAAAAATTTGTAAAAAGTGTTTTTGTGAGCAGGAATTGATAAAAGCGATGCTACTCTTGAGACACATGATAAACTGAGAATCTGTCATCTGAAAGATAGTGATGGTTTTCCAGTTCGCAGTAGATCTTTTGTGTTTCAAAAGAACTTAATGTTTCATTCTGAATGTTTAATGCAGATAAAATAATGGTCATCATTATTTTTAACATGCATCTTGGTATTTTGCAATCCCTAGTTTATTCGCACTGAACAAACTTGGTCTTACTATATTGTCATGTACTCCTTTGACAATCAGGTGGATATATGGAAATATTGTTGTAAACTCATAATTCGTGGATTGTACATTTTATATTTAAAATTCAACGTTAATGTGAAAATATTTTTATAAATTTGATCGACCAATCCAACCACTGCCTCTACTTACAAAATGTATAAAATAATAATATTAATATAATATGCGTTTATTTCAGTTCGTCCTTTTCTTCTTCGCCGCCGTATTGGCCTTGGCTGCTGCTGCTCCCCAACCAGTACCTGCACCTAAGGCACAACCAAAACCCTGGTTGTACTCTGCTCCAGTAGCTTACTCAGCAGTCCCAGCTTACTCCGCCTACTCCTACTCCGCCCCTGTAGCCTATTCAGCCCCTGTAGCCTACTCAGCCCCTGTAGCATATTCTGCCCCAGCAGTATTGGGATACAGCGGATACGGAGCCGTCCTAGTGTAAAATAGTATTCTCTAGTTATTATGTGTTGAAAATAAATGTTTTTTTGTAATCGTGACTGTTTTATTGACTATATCTGAGCAACAATATATCAAAGAAGAACCAAAAGTTTACATGTCCAATGATAAAAGAACAATCAAAGACTTTAAAGTATACAGAACACAGTATTAGTTCGAGTAAACAATTATTTTACGTGCCCTGGTGAAATGATCAAATTGCCAAATCATTATTTGCAAGCAAACACGCACTGAATATTCTTAAAAAAACATGAAACCGATGAAGCTTGGGGCAAAAATCTTGAGTCTTGGCATAATTATGTTGCCTGAATAAACCCCCAACTCCTATCGAAACTATCTGGAAAAAGATCCGAAACCTTAAAGGATCAAACAACTACATCAATATTAATAATCTTTCTTACAATAATAGTCTTGTTAACGACAAAAAAGGCATATCTAACGTATTACCAATGTGTATCGGCTAAATTTTAGTGATAGCAACCGAAACTCAAATTTCATTAAATACAAAAATCATGAAGAATCTTTTAAAATTTCAATCCATGACAGTAAATCGCCCCTAAATGAAAACATAACTCAACAAGAATTTGATTGTTCTCTAAACTGACTTAAAAATATTACTTCAAGTCCAGACGATATTCCAAATTTTCTTGAAAAATATTCAAAAATCAGCTAATCTTATCCTCCTAGAACTATTTAACTCAATATTTCTCAATAATGCATTTCCCAAGGTATGGTGCCATGCAATTATCATCCCAATTCTTAAACCCAACAAACCTAAAGACGATCCCTTGTCATATCGTCCAATCTCCTTGACATGTAGTATGTGTAAACGAATGGAAAAGATTAAAAATAACAGACTAGTATGTCATCTAGAAAACTCAATGTTATTATCTCCCTATCAAAGTTGAAGCATTTTTACACAATCAAAAATTACTAGCTGTCTTTATTGATATCAATAAATCTTAAAATCACTACAAAAATTTTAAATTGAGGGTCACACACTAGCTTTTATACAAAACTTCTTAACTCATAGACACATTGAAGTAAGAGCTAACGGTTATAACTCTAGTACACGCTCTCTTGAAAGTGGAATTCCGCAAGGCTCCATTTTAAGCCCAACATTGTTTCTGATTGCAATAAATCACATCTTGGACGAAATGAAATTACCGATTAAAGCCAATTTATACGCAGACGACTTGATTATCTACCACAAAAGCAGAAGTGTGGAATGTGCGGCTAAAGTAATACAGAAGTTTTTACACACGCTGGAAAAATGTGAACTCGTTCAGTTTTAAATCCTTTCACACCGCTGTTGTTGAGACCTAAATTAGTTTTGCTAACTATATAGGCATTTTTGTATTTTTTTATTAAATAAATTGTTTCACAAACTGTACAAGGGTCATTAATTTTCCCACCTACAAACATTTTTTATGGAACAACGGAAAAATAGTTCCCTCCACTTTTTTTTATTACTTTTTCAAATAATCTTTTATTTTATCAAAAATATGTTCTATTCTCCTTTACCTCTTTTAGATACCAAAAGTATATCAACAAACAAATTAATTCTCCTTATATCCCATCTCTTATTAAGGGTTAAATACATGTATAAGATTTTTTTCAGCTATTTTTCTTCCTTGACGGGAATAGAAAAGTACAAAAAAAATTTAAAACTGACAAACTATAAAGCTGACTTTTCTCAGAAAATATTGTTTTGCTTAACACAAAAAAAAAACTAAATATATGATCACTTCTGACGAACCAATACGATGTACCTAAATTGAAAGGTGAGAGTAAAGTAATAAAACAAACAATAAATGCAAAAGCCATCAAGGTATTGCATGAACAAAAAATATCATTGCTCCTTTTCTGTCCGTCTAATGATGAGTTTTATGTTCGTGTTCGAAATGTCTACCTGTATTACTACTTCGTTAAACAAGGCGAAGAAAAATTTAAACAAGGTTGTTTGAAGTCTGTGACCGAGACCTTGCCTGGGGTTAATAAATAACCACATAATTAGATGGCTTCTTGTTATGAGTTTAAAATATAAATTTCTAATAAATTTCACAAGAGGGTCATTTTATTATTAAGTCAATATTATATTTTAAGGAACTTTAATTAAAATTAAAAATACATATAATCATTTTCTGTTATTGTTATGGTATTATTTTAGTGCTCATGAGGCTCCGTTCTCAGTTTAAGTTCTCTTTTAAAGATGTAGATTTGCGATGTGTATGTGTGCTTCATTGATTATCAAAAGCATGAGTTAATGAACATACTGGAAACAATTGAACTAGATAGTGCGGAAAGACCGGTAAGTAAATTATGATCAATTTGCAACAATCAGGGTGAGAGATAAATTGGCAGAAGAAATAGAATTGTTTTTATTAGGTTGCATGTTTACAATCTACTCTATACACAGAGTAATAAGTAAATAGTATAACTAAATTAACGTGAGTTAGGTACCGTCCAGTGACGGTTCTCTAAGTATTATTGCGGTAGGTCTTCTAGCCATACCCTCTTCAATCTTCTTTCGGCAAGTGATTGGGTGAATAAGTTATTTATCATCGTTGTTGTGATCAGTGGTGCGATTTTTATATTTTATTAAGTGATTCTTCATTATGTCCTTAAGTAATGGGATGTCCAGATCATTGTGAAGTGTTTGGTAAGATACATACCATGGAGCTTTACTTATCATGCGGAGTAGTAAAAGCAGGCAATTAAGTTAAAAATGGTCATATTGATATCTAACATCCGTAACGAATAGGTACTATAAGAAAAAAAGGTTTTATTTTATCGGTAACCGACGGGTAACAACCCACTAACCAAAGCATACTAAGATAGCAGAAGGTTCTCCAGTTTGGGAGGGTTGGACTTAGGGTTAAACCTACCTTGTAAAAACCCACGGTTGTCAAAACCAAAGTCAAAATTATAAACGCTAGACAGACCTTCCGGCGACGACATAACGAAGTAAAGACACTGATTTTAAAGTCCACAATTTACTTTTGATATCTTAATTAAAACAATTTAGAGACATTCATTAATATCAGCATATTTTATAAAACTGGATAACTTAACTTACAGTAATGAGAAAAAGAAGAAGAACTTTCACATTTTAACCTGCATATGTCAAATTTACCTCTAAAATCTAATAGATAACATAAAAAAACTCATTGTGCCCAAGACTGAGATGTAGTGCATAAAAGTCCTTCCCCTTTTAAAATTTAATGTTTGTTTTGTCCCTTCTAAGTGTTTTCTGTTTCTGTGTGTTTAAATTGTCCTTAATGGTTTTAACTTTAATAATTTTATATACTTGACTTTGCAATAATTTACCATTTTGCCAATAGAACTTTATCAAAGAAATTTGATAATTACAAGTTGAAAGAATTGCACACCCACACAATTTGTACATCTAATCTTATTCATTGTCATCAAACTGTCACCTTCTTAAAATAAATACTCAATAAATAACACACATTTCATAAATATATCTCTTAAATAAGTATAAATAACTTTTAAATAATAAAATGGTATAAAACATCACTTTCATCTAACAAACAATCACAGTACACCTATCTCTACTTCATTGGATCAAATCTATCTCCTCAAGAGCTTCCCGTTTATTGTCAAACAACTACAATAGCAGACTTAAGTTCTCCATTCAACAATACATGATAGTTTCAACTATGTTCTACTATCCATCAATTAATAGAGTACCGGCATGTAAGTAATGTTTTATTTATTTGCTCATTTATTAATTTATTACAATCTAATAGACTGTTTTATAACAATTTGTGGGTCTTACCTTGTCTGTTAAAACTTTTTATACCTTTTTATTCCTTTTATTCATTTGAAAAACCACAGACATGTAATATTGGCATAATTACTGTAATTAATAACATCTACTTTGTTTATCTTTATTAGACACCCTAATATGGGTTTATTATTATTTCAGCATTTATTTAACTTTGTATCGAGACCTGAAGATGCTTTGCATATTGTAGAAAGCGAAACCGGTCGTCTGGATAGTTAAATTAAATTGATTGTGAGTCTTATTTATTATTTCTTTACCTATTTGAAATGGAGTCACACAAGCAACACATTTATATTTGAGTAATCGCAGACCTTACGATCGCAATCTTACATTGGGACAATTACACCAATATGAGTGGAAAAGGAGCAGTTAACTTTGCAACTGGTAAGAACATATTCGTGGAAAGCACATGTTTCCCACACAAAAAAGTACATATGGTAACTTGGACCTTAACTGATGGCTTAACCAGCAATCAAATCAATTACGTGGTTACAGATGCTAGATATTTCTCCACTAATGGATGTTCGCACCTACCGAGGCACCAATATTGACTTGGCCACTTTCTAGTTAGCACTAAGAGAAGCACCAAAGCAACCTACTCCAATATTAAACTCATAAAAAGTTCATAAACAATAGAGAAATTTCAAAACTATATCCAAACTGAAAACAATGGAATCTAACAAGTAGTAAAAGTGGAAAAGTGTAAGAACAATATTAAAAAAGCAACAAATACGACCAGAAAGACAACCAACCAACTACCCGAATAAAAAATGATGCAAATAAAATCATGCAGCCAAGAGAAACTTAAGAAAACCAATACAATTATATTTATATATCTTAGGAGGGCAGAAAAGTACTTTCAAAAATAAAAAATCTCGTGAAGTGGAAATGCCAATGAAATTCCATTTTCGTATTCGAAAATGGAATGTTGGAATAACTTGACATATTAAAAAGGCAAAATCCAATTAGAAAATTACATAAAAACCTGAATAATGCAAAAAAGGCTGAGAAATAAGAACTTAATAAAAATGAATATATGTTAAATAAGTAGGTGAAATACAATACGGAACTACTTTCCGCCAAAGTAAAGGATCAAAATCCACCACCACCAGAAGCAAGAAATAATACGCCATTAGAACCTCCTTCAATTCAAGAACTACGGGATGCAATAAAAC